GTTTTTATAACTACTGGAAAACTCATAATACCTGTTATGGAGAGGTATTGACTACATTTATTCACAACAATTATCATTACATCTAATGTGTTATATTTTATTGTAATTTTTAACTTAAAGTTTTAATATTTATCATTTAAATTATTAATTTATATTACAATATACATTAAGCAATATACAAATTACTTTAATGATTAAAAATTTTAATCCTTGTTAAAGGTGTCCGCAACCAATCGGTACCCGAGTTTTGTGAAGATAGTAGAGGTCGGGCCCCGGGATGGCCTCCAAAACGAAAAAGTACAGTATATATATTGAATTGATATTGCACAAATAAAACTAACCATGATAATTATGACCACCAGGAGTACGTGCCGCCCAACACTAAGATCGAGTTCATATCACGTCTGTCGCAAACGGGTTTATCGGTGGTCGAGGCGACGGCATTCGTGTCGCCCAAATGGGTGCCACAAATGGCCGATCACTCGCAGGTCTTCTCCACCGTTGTTAACAAATTAGGCAATAATTCAATTAATTATCCCGTTTTGGTACCAAATACTAAAGGTATTGCTTATTGTGTTATGTGTTAGTGTTTTTCATATATTAATTGTCACATTTAATGGCACGGATCAGGTCTGGACGACGCGATACGCGCCGGCGTCAAAGAGATCGCCGTATTTACCACCGTTTCGGAGACTTTCTGCAAGACTAATGTCAACTGTTCTATCGCTGAGAGTCTTCTGCGGATCGAAGAGGTGATCAACACTGCGCTCAAGAACGACATCAAAGTCAGGGGGTATGTGTCCATCGCAATCATAAGCACCACTACCACCAGCCCAACCATCACCAATTCCACTATCACCTGTCCCTACCTTTCCTCTTATACCTCTGTATCACTAAATTTTCTATTATATTTGACTAATTGATTGATTGCTTTGTTTCTCTACCACCCGATGCCTGTCGCCCCATCTCTGGCCATAACAGTTACATATCGTGTTGTCTCGGCTGTCCATACGAGGGCTCCATAAGCAGCGCAAAAGTGGCTCAATTGGCGCACAAACTCTACCAAATGGGTTGCTATGAGATCTCGTTGGGCGACACGATAGGCGTCGGCACTCCGGCCACAATGCGTGCCCTACTTGAGGACGTACTCAAACTGATTCCCGTCGATGTGGTGGCCGTCCACTGTCACGACACGTACGGCCAGGCGTTGGCCAACATTCTGACGGCGCTGGAGTACGGCGTGGCCACTGTTGACTCGTCGGTGGCCGGTCTCGGCGGCTGTCCCTTCGCGAAGGGCGCCACCGGAAACGTGGCCACAGAAGACGTGGTCTATATGTTGCACGGGATGGGCATTAAAACGGTAAGAGTGTATCTATTGTGATGTGTGTGTTGTCTGATTGGCCTAACGATTGTGTTTTGTGTCAACCCATGTCCAGGGCGTGGATCTACCGAAGCTGATGGAAGCGGGAACTTATATATGCAATGCGTTGAAAAAGCAGACCAACTCTAAGGTGGGCCGAGCGACCCATTCCAAGACGTGCGGTCACACCGATCAGCAATAAAAGCACTGATCAGCCATTGTTATCATCGCCCGAACCCATCACTACCACCACTACTACTACTTCTACTACTATTTCCCACTACTGTTACACCACTTCCCGGGACTCCCCGATCACTGGACCAATTAGGGTGACCTTCCGGGACATCACAAACACATACACAACACTATCTCTGTCTCTAACACAGAATTTTCGAAATTAAATATAAATTTTATTTCATTATTACATCAAATAATAAGGTTTTAATTAAATGATTAAATAAATTTATTGCTTGGTTAAAGAAAATTGTTATTACCTGTATATATAAATAATTGAATTTTGTGATCGTTAAATTACCATGTAGCGACATTACGACCATGTTTTAACGCTATTAATAACGTGCTCGTAATAGACATTGGTATGCATTACGTGATGATTGTTTATTAATTAAATAAACAATTAACATGTTTATTATAACTGCGGTAAATTTACAAACATCAATGTCACGTTAGCCACGTAAAATATTATTTAAATAAATTGTAAATTAATATAATTATTATAATAATTTTTATATAAATAATAGTTATAAATAATTATGATAACAACTACAAAAAAAAATATCAAAACCTTTTTAAACAAATTCATTATAAAATACCATTTGTTAATAAATCATTAGTTTAATTGTTTCACTAAATGTGTGTTTAATTTGTTAAGTATTTCATTGAGTAACAATAGTTATCATAATATAAATTAATAATTATGGTTAAAATGGTTATGAATATCACTGACTGTCATATGTCACTGATTTATAGCCGGTATCGAAGAACTTGATCCCATCGGCAGTCAACTGTTTTATAAATTAAAATCATAATAATGATAATAACATAAGGTATTTATTAGTATTAACCAATAGAAGTGGTTTGTATGAGAATTATTGAATACGAGATAATGATTGCCAGACACGAGACAAATGTCTCTGAGTTTATAGTAAATAAATTCATTGCCGTTAAACACATCCGATCCTCAAAATTAATGATTTCAATCAATAATAGCCTATCGTTTCCGAGATGTGTGTCAACACATCTGTCCTCTAATTTTGTCACAATTTTTTTGTAACTTTTGGTCAGAATATTGGGTATTAAACAAATACACAATAGTATGCTTATTGAGAACAACATGGACACTAACATCACCCCGAAACTAATATACTGTGTCATGGCCAAAACGCACAAGTTTGATACCACATTCACTGTGTATACCATGAATGTCATTAATAAGTACACCGATATGATATTGTTGAAATTTTGTAAATCATCATTCATACTAGTTAGCAGATTTTAGATTTTATTTAGATTAATGCCAGCGTTTGAATCCAGAATATTCTGCATCATTGTTGACATAATACAGCATTTATAAGCTATGAGTGATATGATAGACAATTGATTATTACAGGTGATTATGCCTACAAACCCAGACAATATTAGCTTAAATCAATCTACCATCTGACTTTTTACCATTAGTTGATGCATGAATATTGCAATAAACATGCACATGATGGTTATTAAACCAAACTGGATTAATGTAATGTATAAACCGATGTTGCGCTCAATATTCTGGTTTATTTTAGCCAATTCTTGGTTTTGTGTTTTTACTGAATCTATTATAGACTTCCCTTTTACTAGTGAGAAAATACAGGCAAACATCGATTGGATAACAAATACTAAATAACCCAAACTAATTGTGATAAACATCAGGATCGATTTGCGCGAATTCATCGGATTCTGTTTTGTCCCGGTTAATAAATGATCTATGCTGACGTAACATTGCCATGTAATCACCACGACCATACACAAATTCCATAGTATTTTTAACGCACGTTTAAATTTACCACGATTATTTGTTTCTGCTGGGTATATTTAAGCTCCGCAGTATGAAATACCGAATATACTATGATATGTTAGCAATATATTTAAACCAGACAACTTGGTTGTATTTTGAATCATTATATCTATGAATTATAAGAGCGCTGTTAATTAATATAAATGGTATACAAAAAAATGTCAGCTAGTGTATTTTAACTATATTATTAAACCTGCTTTATATAAATTCTGTATATTTATTATATTAAGTAATTTGCAATTGATTTAAAAGTAAACATGCAACATTCAACAACATTCAGTATTGAATTTAATAAAATGTTATATCTTATGACAATATAATGAATCATTAATAATGATCGATGTCTTACAGAGCAAATAACAATGTTATTCAAAATTGAATTGATTAAAATAACAACAACATGTTTTTACTATAATTAAATATTAATTAAATAAGTATTTACATTAATAAAAGTCTATTGATTATTTAAGCACAGTACAGGTACCATTCAAAACTATAATAACAATCAAACATTTTCCTACAAATATTTCTAGATTATTTAATTCAAATAATTAATTTTTTTAATAATAAACATTTTATCAAAATATACTATTGCATTTTTAAAATAAAAATACAGAATTACATGTATAAAATTGTTAACGAACCTTACAGATTCATAAGTAAATACATTATATTGTATCCATTTTTGTATTGTTAGTAATAGAACTAATATTCTGTAGCAAAATACATATGATTACAAAATTATATAAAAACATATGTCCTTAAAAGCGTACTCAATGTCCTAACTTCGCTTAAATTTGATTTATCGTAATAAAAATATACCTAAAAATACAAATATGTGACTTTTATTACAATGAATACACTGTGATTAAATTTGTAGTATTTTTATAGAAAGCAATTACTATTACAATTACTACTAATTAATTAATACTTTATCATGCACAATAGTTTAGATTGCATACTCTTATTAGATACACTTTTATTAATACAATGAGAATTAGTGATCATGATTATAAGGATTAAAATAATATATAAAAATTAATTTTTACTTTCATTAAACATTTATGAAAACAACCTGGTTATATATTGTACATAATTAGCAAGCACATATTTCTACATTTTCTATTTTATGTTTTTAAGTTGACCTATTTGCATAAGGTAATTTTAATTGCACATAGTAAATTGTACTAAAAATGTTACCTCTTCAACTTACCGTATATAAAAAAAATCAGTTCCAACGTAAATAAAAACCAAAAAGTAATAAACATGTTTAATTGACTAACTATAATAGTTTATAAAATAATTATCTAGATTTTAAAAAATGGTTTATTAATTTATTAGTGCCTCATGATTTAATTATGCATAATAAATTAAATGTTTTGTAAATTATAATAAAATTCTTAAAATAACAATAAGAAGTTGTAGAATATAGACAGGCTTTAGGTAAAATGGGAATATTTATGACCATGGTTGGTTACACCACATTATATACTGAACATCACTCGACACTTAAGATTAGATATTGATTACAACTGAGTTAAAAGCCTTTATTTGCGATTAT